TGAAGAGAAGCGGCGGAGAAGACATAAGTGCCCGTCATTAATTCATACAAGCTTTAATGTGAGCGATTCTGGAAATCAAAAACCTCCTGAAATCACCATTAACCCGCACTGTCGATAAACCTGTAAGATGATCCGCCGTTTCTGAATCTAAGAGTGGATGCACGTGGGTGGAGGATGATGATGATGATGATGTGGGAGAGGGGGGGGGGGGGGGGGGGGTGCAGTTTATTTTTATCACGGCCGCCTTTCAGAAATAGAAGGAAGTCTAAAAAAAACAGACCTCACGAGTTCTTCTCAATCGAAGACGCTTGTGCAGCAAACCGTGCATTTCTATCTGTGATGGAGGGAGACTTTAAACACCCCTCCCCACCACCACCCCTCCAGCTTTTAAGCCCCACCCTCACCCCCAACCCCAACCACACACACACACACACACACACACACACAACAGTGTTACGTAATACAGCATGTGAATGTCAAGAGACAGAAAGAGTCGTGGAGAGAGATGGGAGGATGGAGGAGGAGGAGGAGGAGGAGGGGGGTGGGTTTATTTGGTTTATGCATATAGAGCTCCCAAAACTCAGGGAACACTGTGTACTCTGCTGTCCCCTGAGACCCAGCATGTTACAGTAGATGTCAACCCCACCTCAACCACCTCCACGCACGCGAAATCATGCACGCGCACGAGTTGGGTGGCTCCAAAATATATAGGAATATATAAATATAACAACCAACGTGGAGGTTAACAGCGGTAAATATAGTGCCAGGCCTCCCACATTCATCCCGTTTTCTCCCTCCATTCACAGACTATTGTCAGAGGAACTGGTGAATGAATGAGTGAGTGGGGGAAAGTGATGGATGAATGAACGACTGCACGAAATGAGTGAATGAAGAGGCGCAGCCGCTGAGGAAGAAGAACGCAGGGGGCGCGCGTCACTCCTGTAGCCATATATCTCTCAGTCGGCTTTCATTGCAGTTCGCCGTCTTTGCGGGGGGAAGTGCGGCTGCACGGGCAATAACCAAGCGTGGAGAGCAAACACATACAGTACACACACACACGCACACACACGTGCGCACAAATTGGGGGAGTGGTGGGGGTCGAGCGTGCGTGTGCGTGCGATGCACATGTGACAAAGCAGTTCATAAATAATCAGCAGTTCTATTCACGAGGATTCTTCTCTTGAGGTGGTTTATTGTGTACAGCAGGGCTCCCAACCAAGGATATGGTGCTGAGCATGGCTAGTAGCCTATTGGGGGGGGGTAGAGGGGTAGGAGGTATGTAAACCTAAGTGGTGGTGATGTGTCAGTGTGTGTGCTGTGTAAGGGGGGGGGTAGTTCTATAAATAGCACTATAGCTCTGCTTCCATTGACATCATTTAGGCAGGGGAGATGGAAAAATAAATAGGGGGAGTGGAGGGAGGAGAGGGCGCAGGGATCCTTAATCTCGGCTTGAAATTCAAACAAAACCTGGCCAGCCGTCCCTCTGTACACACTCAACAAAAAACGGTTCCACGAGCCCGGTGAAGGTTCCTCTTTATCTGATGTCTTCTCCAGTTTCTTTTGAAATTCTCTTTTAAGTGATTGAATTATTTTATACAGAAAACCTAAACAAGGCATTTATTTTATTTTCTAAATTAACATTCAGACAAAACAGTGATGGGTCCGCAGTTCAAACCACTTAGCGTCAAAGCAAAAGACCCAAAAATTGCGGATAAAATCACAAAGAGAAGACATTTTGTAAATTGATATTGAACATATTGATATTACACCCCTCTCTGTTAATTGGTTTTACTCATGATAGTTCAATATCCTGGCAAAGGATCCACTGAGTCCTTCTTCTTAGAGTGTGTATGCTTGCCCTCATCCACTGGGGCCCAATAGTAAACATCAGACCAAAACACCCACTGTTTCCTAGAAAGACGCAGCCTACGAGTTGGAATGGAAAACCACAAGGCACACGGGAGGGGACATCAAACAAATTAAAAGGACCTGTGTGTATACAACAGATACACACATGCACACCATGAGATCCAAGTGGAAAAGACCCTTGTGCACCCAAGGCAAATGTTTTGGAAGATAATATTATTGTATTGACATGGTAAAAGAATTGACGCTCAATAGGGCGTACAGAGGCAGCGTTATTTTCATTTCATTATCAAGACTAACATTTCCGCTCAAACAGGCTGACTGACTCATGTGTTTATGTTATTATGGAGGAGGAAAGGAGGACAGCACACTGTTTTTCCATGGTCGGAGTGTCTTAGTCACACCCAGGATCATCTGTGTAACTCTGTCGTCAGCTTTTGCACTGACCCCTGAATGCTGCGTGACTTTCACCAGATGACGTCTTCTATGATACATTTCTCCCCATGTGCGTCCCCCGCCTTGTCCTGCAATCACACATCTTCAAGTCCCACAGCCTGTAACTGCAGCAACGCTTGGTTACTTGTTATTGTTTTGTCTTGTGTTTATCTCGCTTAATGTTCTCATTGATTTCTGTGAGAATTTTCCCCCCTCCGTTCACAGAGGGATCAGAGGTCAGCTGCAGATATTTATAGGCTCCAGAGCAGGACTACCTCAAGGTCGCCAGAGGAAACCCTCACCAGTTGGACTGACCATCTTTTATCCGCAGTAACCTAAGGTTAGTGGTACAGTCATGCATATATGGGCGTAGACAGAGCTCTCTTCCCTCTCTCTTGTTGATCACACACTCCATTTCCTTCTCCCAAACAGCACTCACACCTTTTTTAGTATGTTATGATTCTCACAGCCAAATCCTGAAAGGTGTAGTGCTGGCCACCAGACGTGTGATGGAGCATCCGCCAACATTTGAATGGTGTGTTTTATTTTAGGAGGGTGAATCCTAACCGTAAGGCTTAATTCAGTCATAATGGTGAAGTATCTTTTGCCTATTATTATTTTGTCTGCCTGCCACTCTCCCTCCCTCCCTGTTTTGTATTTCCTCCTTCTGTCTTCATTCTTATCTTCTTCTTCTCCTCATAAATCACACACCATTTCTGTGGAAAAGAAAAAATAGCACCCTAAATGATAAACCAATGACAAGTTCCAAATCAGTACCAAACATCTGCATATGTGTATGTGTGTGTGAGTGTATGCATGTGGTCCAGGTATAATTCATGTAATGGGGACTTAAATCTCTTTACACTGTCAAGTTATGGGAACTTGTCTTTCCTATGCAGACACAAATCAAGTCCCCATAATGTAAATCGTTACATTTTAAGGTGAAGACATGTTTTAAAGTGGGGTTAAGGTTATGCAAGTACTAACTATATAGTTCGAGTAAGTCTCCAGGAATTCAATGTAAATCAATCTAATGTCCTCTGAAGTCATGGAGATATGGCTGTGAGTACATGTGTGTGTTTGGTTGCCATGCATGCATCAATGACAGAGTGGCTTTCCTCCTATATTTCTGCATGCAGTGCTTATAGGTCTGAGGGATACTGAAACTTAAACTGAGCACCTTAAATATGTTTCTCTTCAGTAGTCCCCAATCAAGTAAACTTATTGAGTATTGATCATAATGAATAACTTTTCCAATATTCCAACTAAAATCAAATGTTTTCTTCTGTTTTTCACTTTTATCTTTTGTTCATCAGTCAAACATCCTGTAGTGTAGAGTTTCAGCTTGTGATGATATTTCAGCACTGTGGACAGCTCCTAAAGACAAACCTCAGTTCTGGACGGAGCTCTTCAACTGAATCAGTTTTCAGACGATGTATTTATTATCTGAAAATAAACCCACTCCTGTTCTTGGTATGCATGCTCTATAGAATGACTTGACTTTGTCCAGTCCATCATCATCATTCATCTATTTAAATTGTACACATGTTCAAAAGCAGCATGATAACATATTTTTGATCAAGAACAATGTTGAGTCATTTTAATCCATTTGTCTGTGTAGTATTTGTGAGGGACGAGGTAGTAGTGTACTTGAAAGACCCCCTTAGAACCCAGAACCCGTCTGTCTGTGTCTGTCTGCCTGCATGCATGCCTGTCTGCCTGTCTGCCTGTCTGTCTTTTTGCTTGCCTGCCAGTCTGTCTTTCTGTCTGTGTTCAACATGCTGGATATTTTTAGACACAGAGAAAGATGGACGTATCTGACCTGTTTGCCCTGATTACTAAAGTAATTAGTTGCTATGCTCTTTTATTCACATATCGATTTGTCTGGTCTGGCTCTCGACCCCAGTCGGTTTGGAAATGGTGGCAGGGGGAGATTTGAGGAGGTTGTTGGTGGGTAAAAATCTGGGTAAAACATGTGATTCCCCCCCCCCACACACACACACCACCACCACTACACACACACAAACACACACCCTTCACCCCAAACGCCCAACCCCAAACGCTCACAAGCCCCACCCCTCTCTCTCTCCCTGCCAGCTGAATTCATCTGATACTATTTTTGAAAGTCGGTGTTTCTAAGGGATACCTAATGACGCAATGACGTCAATGCAGGTCAATAGCACACTGCTGGATAAGAGGACCAGGGAGAGAGACACGGATGGAGAGACCAACGTACAGAGAGAGGGAGAGAAAGGCAGAGAAGGATAGGTCTGGTTGTCGAGACACTTTTCCAAGCGATCACTCTGTTGCTCCACTCCCTTAGATTTCCACATTTATTTTTCTAGTATGAAACTCCAGTATTCCTCTGCTCTTCCGATTCTTTGGCTTTATCTCTGTCCTCAATCCTATTTAAATTACGCCCAATGTTTTTATTTTCTCTTCCTGGCTGCAGGTTTGTGCCGATAACAAGCGCGGACCTTTTATTCGCGCTTCCCTTGCCCCATTCATGCTTTCCGTCTCAGTCTGGTAGTCATTCACACACATGCGCACGCGCACGGAAACACACACGCACACAGAGTGGTGAATCGTGTGGCGCGCCTCCTCCCCAAATGCGTAAAGTCCCACTGATTTGGCGCGCTCTTTCTATCAGCTGGCTGGCTCACTTTTGTAACTCTGTGTACCCCCCTCCACTCCCAATCCCTGCACCCCTTCCCAACACCACCACCCAACACAACCACCCAACCCATCTTCCATTTGCTCCCTGCATCCTGAATGGCAGTGCCAAACATTTCAGTCTCCGACAGAAGTGGGAGACGTCGTACATCGTGCTGACCTGCTTTGTCCGTCCTGACGCAGGAGCAGAGTGTCAGCTGCCCTGCTTTCTCTCCCCCTCTGTCTCCTCTGTCTGCCTCATCAGCCTGTAGAAAAGAGTTTTTTTTAAAAAGAGGGAAACAATCTGAAGGTAAGTGCTTTCTTTTGTAGATGGCGCGAATCCTGAGCCAGAATGTGATGTACTAGTCAGGGGAGTTTTGCAATTACACCATGCCAGGATATTTTGGGACTCGGGAATGACCGCTTGATCTCTCAGAAGCAGTGATGCTGGTTGTCAGGGAACGCACATCCAAACTCCGGCTGGTCTGCAAAACATCTCTTTGACATAATGATCTGAATAATCTGAGTTTCTCGGTCATTTGACGGACGGTTGATGTTTGTGAGCATTTTACTCAGAGATGATCTGAAGCTAAAATAATATTTTATTTGCTGCACATGAAACACACATGATGTTATGTAGGGCATTCTGCTGTTTACAAACGTTCAGGCTATAAACACAGCAGTGGAACTGTATTCAGGAAGGGGTTTTTTTGGTGGGGGGGGTTGTTGTTTGTGCGTATTGGCATCGGAGGGATTTTGCAGACACTCCAAGAGAGCAGGCTGCGGTAATGCGTAGGAGTTTTCACGTGTTGGGGATCCTCTGCTTTAGACTGCCTGCTCTGCTCAGATGCCTAGTAACAACTACTGGAGAGACAGAGAGAGGAGGAAAGTTTTGGGAAATGTACATTTTGTGATTCTGCTTCTAGGCGTAAAATCAGTGGCGTGACTGGTTATATTTGACTGTTAAACACTGGCTTCTACTTGAGAGAGCGTGACAGCGCGTCATTCATGAATATTTGTAACAAGACAGGGTCGTGCTTTATTTTAGGCTCCTTAGTTCCCCACTTGTAAACAACTTTTTGCAGCGGACTTGTGTCAGTCCACACGTGTTGTCACCTCTGGGTTACCTAATGTCTCCTTCTACGTGGCAGCAGTGTAAAGGGCATTCCCAGATCCTGTGATATATCCAACCTGTGTGGTGTGAGTGCCACTAGATGCTTGAGTGGCACTCGATGGGGGTGTTGTGGACGTTAGAAAACTCGACACGACAGAGACCGAGCTCCGTGGACAGCACCTCATGCGCACTTTGAAGCCGAGTTCAGCAGAACTGACTGTGGTTCGAACTTTGTTTTTGGAGTTGTACCAGTTTCACAGCAGAATGCGTCCCTGAAGTCAATGTGTTCCGCCGCAAACATAATGTAAAAGTGCACAGTTTCAGTGTGGGTGGTAATAGATGTTCAGTGTGGTTCTCTGCACAGCTCGTGCTCATAATTAGTTATGATGATGAGGCTATGAGAATATTTTAAAACTCTCTCGGTCTCAGATGAAGTCGGACAAAGACTTCAGAAATAAGTCTGGTGCAACTTGATGGAGTCAGGAGTGCGTACTTTTTAAAGGTGGTGTGGGTGGTGGTGGTGGTGTTGGGGGGTAGAATAAGGGGGATCTCTAGCTGAGTTTGTCGACACCTGGCGGTGGTCTTGGCGTACTGCTCTAAGGAACCTCGGCTGCAACTCCCATTGATACTAGTACTCCCTGTTTGAATGATTGTGGACTACTGGGAAGAGTGAGTGTGTACACAGTGTCTGTGTAGGGTGGTTTGTGAGGTTGGTGCTTGTGTAGGTTTATGAGATGTTTGACAATTGTCTCGTCTGTTCTTTTGACTTGAATGATTTAATGGCTCAAACAAGAGCCAGACCAGAAACAGATGCCAAAATGTCTAGAGCATAAAACTGACAGTGTTCTCTTTGATTCCTCACTGTGGGGATAAATGAGGACCTGCTCAATCCGCTGCGTGTGTGTGTGTGCATGTCACTATACATGCACTCGCCAGCAGTCACGGACATACAGTTGGCCTACAGGCAGGGATAAAAATAGCACAAACCGATGCGTCGGGCGCAGCCCTTTTCCCTCCTCACAACTGACTTTTCGAGGCTGCCACTGATTGCAGTCTAACCAACTCCATCTCTAAAAATCCCTCAACTCCATCCTCCTCAGCGCACAGCACCCCCATCCCATCCCGAAAAGTCTCGTGAATCTCCACGCGGCACGAGCACAGATGGACGGCGTGGGGTGCAGTGTGGAGAGGGTCTTACAATAAAGGCGCTATAGATGTGAAAGGGGAGGTGGGGTGAGAAACGGAACATACTGTAGAGGGATGTTTGTTTTGTTCGCCTTTGCGTGTGCGCTCCCCGTGGGTCTATTTCCATGGATGAGCGGGGTCTGGTGCGTGGGCACGACCGAGTGAATATATGGAGGCAGCGGCTCGGTTCGCTGTGTTTTCCTCTCCCCTCTCCCCTCGGCTCCAAGATGCAGTGTTTTGTTCGCCAAATGCAGTGGATGCTGGGATAAAAAAAAAAAAAAAACATACCCAAGACCAAAACAGCACCAAGGCTTGGAGACAGGGGAGGGAGGAGGGGGGTGGAAACCCAGATGCTAGAGGGTTTTTACCAGGAGATAACCTGCTCCATAGACACACTTTCCGAGTCCACACCACACTCTGCACCTGTAATATCCTCCTGTATTTTGACACTAATTTTTCTCTCCATGGCACATTTTGCGAGGAGCTGATCACAGAGCGGCAGCGTCTTTAATCAGGCTCCACGGGCTGTAAAGTGAGAGAATCTGAACGTGACGTCAATGCCTAGTAACTGACGCAGCCCTTCAACAAAAATGGCCTTTTTTATTTATTATTTTTTTCTCCTTCTCGCCAGCAAAGCTTAATTGCTCATTTTCTCACAGCACACCGTCGGCTGAAAGAACAAATCGTTTTATGCGCGGTCCTTAGTATTTGGAGCTGTATGTCTTTTTTTTTGCGTTCATGAGTTTCTTGCTGCTGAAGTGACACTAGGACGAGAAGCTTCTGAAGAGGGCGACAAGACATTAGATATAGTCGATGATACCGGTAGCGACGACGAGTTCCACATTTTAGTTGTGGAGGAAGGGGAAAGTGTAGTGAGATTTCAGGGAGAGAAGGAGGTGGTGGTGCTGCTGGTGGAGGCACATTGGGTTCCAAAAAAAAAAAAATTACTGCAATGATGCAACGGAGGGGAATCGGGGCTCTTGTGCAGAGTTGGAGAGGCAAAATTAATTTACCTTACTTGCACTTCACGTAACGTTCTTAAGCGATGCCTTTGTGAGTGTTTTTTCTTATTATTATTATCCTTCCTTGTACTGTGACCTAAAAATAGAAGCATAGTTTTGATCGTGCGCCAGAAATAGACTGACCGGTATCACTTGTATAAAATAGGAGGCGATCCTGAACAAACTTGGACGTGCCACTGTAAGCCTACACATAATAACTAATGGAGGACTTAATCTGTTGCATTTCTGGCTCGCTTGTCACTGAAATCTCAATCTTTTCTCTCTGTTTCTCTCGCCAGTCTAGGACGAAGACGCGCCTGCACCATGGTGAGTGAGACGCGTGCACATGAAACGTTTAATTCCGTGTACTTTTGAGTTGTAGTTTTTTTGTGTACTGCATGCTTTTGCTTCTCCTCTCCTGTCTCATGCACGCGAACACACATCAGACTCCCTGTCGAGCAGACTTGGGCTTCACTGGCATGCTTTATTTTTGACCACAGAACTAAAGCATATAGAGCAAACCTTCCTGCAGAGTAGGAATCACCCCTTTTGGTAAATAGGCAAGTGCAAAACTCCCTTTGTCTGTTGGCGCTGTTGAGTATCTATCACATATTTATTTATTTTTTGCTTAACCGCGAAAGTGAGGGGAACCCTTCTCTGATGAGCGCTCAAGGACGTCTTTCCCTCCGTTTTCTTGTCTTTTTTTGTTTCTTAAGAGGAGTCGTATACTGACAGAGGAGCGGCGGTGGATGAGGAGGAAGAAGAGGAGGAGGAAGAGGAGGAGAGACTGGAGGGAAGGAGCTGTTGCTGCAGCAGAGACCCGGCGCACCGCATCACGGGGGAAACCCGGGAGCTGTCCAGCAGCAATGGTGCTGAAACCACACCAAGTGGCGGTAGTGGGCTGTTACTGGTGATTGTTTTGGCTGTTATGTGTTTATATGCATGTGCGTGTGTGCGCGCGTGCGAGTGGCTGCGGAGGGGTGGGGGGGGGTGTTGTCTCCTGGCAGGCAAAAGCTTTATTTACTCCTGTTTGGAAACCAACATCATCTTTTCTGAGCGACTCCCTCTTTTATTGAAGCGAAGCCGGAGGAGACACAATGACGCCCCACCGCCTATTTTAAAATGGTTAGCTCTTTAGTGAGGGGAGACATTTGGGACGAAAAATATGTTATAACGGAGCCTTTTCCCGCCTGTGCAGTTTGAACAAGGGAGAGGGAGACAGAGGGGGAGAGAGAGAGAGAGAGAGAGAGAGAGAGAGACAGGGGGGAGAGGGAGAGAGAGAGGGGGGGGAGAGAAAGAGAGAGAGAGAGCGGCATAGCAGCCGGACCGACTTGGATCAACTCTTCCTCTCCTGCTCATGTCAGTCCCGTCATTTCCTCCCGTGTCTGACCAACCCATGAAGGAATCAGTTTGATTTCTACAGCCTCTCCAAAAGCGCAGAGTCTTTGCCTTTGCGTAAAGATGTTCAGCAGGTGTCAGGTTTGTCGTGCACGCCCGAAATCTTAGCATAAAAAGTAGGAAAATTGCCGCGATGCCCAGTTGTTGAGTCCGACAAGACCGTGCCCGATTCCAGTGTTGTTATGTGGCTTTAGTTCCGAGGCTCTCTCCACTACAACTTGCGTGCAGGAGGCGAAAGGAGCGTCGGAGGAGTTTGAAGGAAGGGAACCACTCGTTCAAACAGGCATCAGCGGTGAATTGGCTACTCAGACCGGCGAGAAGATTGAACAAGCTACAGGCGACTGGGACACACTCAGGACCTGCGCGCTCGTACCCTTCAATCCCAGCATGTGCACAGCTGCATGCAGGCTACGAGACTATCGTGCCAGAGGTGCATGAAAAATAAAAAAACAACGACCACCTGTCTTTTGATGTGCAAAATCCTGCTTACACCCCACATACATATGCGCACACACACAAATGTAGCAATTCTATATTCCTCATCGGTCAAAAACAGCGCAAACACACCGACTCGAGAGCGAAAAGAAAGGTCTTGCTCAATAATTCAATAGCGCGCGTGTAATTTCGGATGAAACAACACGGATCCCCGAGTCGTGACTGCTAAAGTGAGTAATGTGCGCGTTGGCTGCGTCAGGAGAGAGGCAGTCACTGTGCAGTGCAGACGGTGGGGGGAGAATCGTGACTGACTGGGCTGCAAATGGAGAGACCACCCAATAATAATAATACTAACAATAAAAACATATACATCCACAGCGGGGACGATGGGAGGGGGGTCGGGCATAGCGGGATGGATAGGGTGGGGGTCGTGGGGTTCTGGGGTGGGCTTTCAGATGTTTGGCATGCACTAACCCCCCTCAATCCCAAATATCTCCTTTCTTCCCTCAGGGCTTGTTTTTTTTTTAGTTATGAGCCCTCACTGCTTGCTAGCACGCTGGCAGACCAACTTGAATGCAGACGAGTTTCATCAGTGATAGTGAGGCAGGGAGAGAGAGAGAGGGAGAGAGAGTGAGAGAGCGAGAGAGAGAGAGAGCGATGGATGGAAGGAAGGAGGGAGACAGACAGACAGACAGACAGACAGACAGACAGACAGACAGACAGAGAGAGAGGGGGAGGGAGGGAGGGAGGGGGTATGTTGGTTCGATATCACACCTGGTACAACCAAGGGAGGGGGGTATAAGAAGGGGTCTGAATCCAGATCGTGACCCGGCCTCCACCTCGTTATATGTGCAATAAGTTGCAGGTGCAGAGGGGAAGTTGAGGCTTGTTTACTGAACTAAATTAATGGAACTGTTTCATTGGGGATATCAGGTAAGTTTATTCTCACTATTCCATTATTCCGTTGCTAAATTTGACTAAAGAAATCCCATTAAAGATGGTTTGAACTCAGAATGTGAGAGTGAGTGGTGTATGAACTCTCCAACTCTTGATTGTGATGCTAAGTAACGTGTGGTTTTCGTTAAGTTAAAACCGATGCAGTGTGTCGTCCCATGTAATAACTGTGATTGTGTTTGGTGTATACCTTTAAAAGCACCAGGGCTCTGGGCTGAAATTGCAGTCCGGAGTTGGAGACCACCCTGTGGGTTTTATTTTTGCAGTGGTACCCTCAGGTGAACTCTTTAGGTGACCAGGAGTCGCCTCAGATGCTTCTTGCTCTGTTGTGACGCGGTGTGGAGTTTCTGTGCGAAGCTTCCCATACTTTGCATTTCTGATTTTCACCGTCATATCATTTTTCTTGCTTTGATATGTTGAATGAAAGAATAGAGCTCGTTCTTCTTGATGAGGTGAAAATGGCCAATCCTCGTTTTCACAGATCTTTATCGTTATTTCCATACAGTCAATGAGTACTGTTGTGTTATTTATCACGATTTAAACCGTTTTGAGCCACGCGCAGCCTCGCTTTAGACGCCCCCTGCAAGTGCGTAAAAATGAGGAGGAAGAAAAATGTATATGCATATTAAGAAACAGTCGCAATAAACGCTCATACCCCATATCAATGCACATACATCCACACTCTCCTGGTATAGATCACAATTTGGTTAGCGCTGTCTATTTTTTTTATTTTTTTCAAAAAGGGGGGTCCCTATATAAGCAAGACGCCGATTGGTTGATGACGAGGTTTGGTTTGCTCCAATCAGATCCCTCCCTGCTCTCTATTTATTGCCAGCAGTTTACAGCCTTGCTCCCTCCTCACCCAGAGCTCTGGAGCGGCTGCAGAGAGCCAGCACTTCACTATAGGGAGACACACACCCTCACGGACCAGGGAATATAATACACAGAGAGAGGGAGAGAGGGAGCACACTGACAACACAACGCATCGATGCACAGCTCCCAGTGATCACACGGGCTTTGCACACATCCGAGCGCGGTTGGATAAAAAAAGGAAAGGAAGAAAAAACAAGGAGAGGAAAATATGAGGGAGAGAGAGGAAGGAAGGGTAGAGGGATGGATGAGGGAGGAGAGACACGATAGAGGAGAATTCAAACTGGTGAAGGAGTGGAGGAAATCAAAGCGAAAGGACCTTGGACAGCTCTCGGTTGCAGCAGCAGCATCCTTGGCACCCTTCTTTCTCTCTTTCTCTCCATCCTCCATCCATCTATCCTCTCCTCCTAGTGTGTGTGCGCGCATGTGTGTTGGAGGGACACACTCGCCTCGGGTTGCCGATGGCTGGAGATACAATCAACCGAGCTGGGATGGGAGATACGTTCACGGAAGCGAAAAGAAGAGCAGGCTCCCCAGGTGTCACGGAGTCTCCGTCGGAGCAGCAGATGATCATGTCCTTCACGAATCTTTTTGCGGTCTGGGCTTGCTGTTCATAACTATTAATCTGGGAAGCCCTTACCCCAAAAAGCATTTGCGGAGGGCGCAATCGCCGAGACATCGACATCGGAAGACGCGGCTCCACTCTTGGAATTTTACAACCTTTATTTTTTAAAGGGCTTGTTTCCTTTTTCTGCTCGAATTTTCTTTTTGCAATATTGTTGTTGTTATTTACTCTTGTCATTTTCGTCATTGCCATAGCAAGGGCGCTTTTGTCACGGTTGTTTTTCAGCCCTATGCGTGTGTCATCTTTTTTTTTTCCCTTCTCGTCAACAGTTTTGGTCTTTGTTAGAAATTGTGGCACAGCTCTGCAGCCACGTCGCACCCAAGTTTTTGCCCAAACTCTTGTGTGCCACAATGTGCAGAGGTGAAAACATATTTTTGGTGTTTATGTCAACAACAAAAAAACATGTTGTCCGCCCCAAAACTTTAAACGATGTGAGATTAAGTCGTCATTGCAGCCAAACACACCCCCCAGAGCCCGGGACACAGTGGCCCCTGCACAGCAGAGCAGAGTGTAAACACGGGGAGACCCTTTGCAATGCACACAAGTTGCACGTGGGAAAAACATGGGAGGTGTGTGTGTGTGTGTGTGTGTGTGTGTGTGTGTGTGTGTGTGTGTGTGTGTGTGTGTGTGTGTGTGTCCCACATTTTTTGGGACGGGTTGGGGGTTCCATGACGTCCAAGTGGCACCCCACCCGCTAACAAAACATACACACACACACACACACACACACACACACACACACACACACACACACACACACACACACACACACACACACACACACACCTGTAAGCACGCAATGCAAGGGATTCCCCGGCAAGGCCATCGTCCTATCATAGGGAGAAGCCCATATTGGCAGATGGGGGGGGGATGAGGAACAGCTGCAATCGCTGCTTCATATACTGACCGAGTGACTCCGTGTGTGTGTGCGCGCGCGTGTGCGCACACCCCCTCCCACCAAACAAACACTGCAAACGCAAAAGTGTCTCCTTCCCAGTTTTGTGAATCCACCTCAAGCATCGTCACCCCCCCCCCCCCTACACACACAACACACTAGTCCGTTCATTCACCAGACTCAAAACAAAAAAGAGAGAGGAACAGAACATAAATTATATCAACCTCAAATTTCTGCAGCTTAACGGTCCCCTCCATACTATAGTTCTGCAGCACAGTAAAAACTCTCAGAGAGAGAGTGTGTGTGTAACAGTGATCACACAGATGAAAACAGAAAAGAGAGATGAGCATTTCCCACCTTAGAAGACAGAGTAAAAAGAGCAGAAGAGGATGCAACTCAATTTGGCCATGAGAAGAAGAAGGGACATGCAACTTGTTGTAGACCGGTTGTCCCAGAACTGCACCCCAGAGCATGAGTTTGAATAATCATACTTCATGTTGGAGTAGTTGCATTATATGGCCAAATAGGAGGCTCAATAATAAATGACCTTCGGGGTGAAATATGAGACCCCTCCCCTTTTACGCAGCAAGCATACTAGGCCCTGAAGCTTGGCAAGAAAATATAACTCCAAGAGGGAAAGAAAAGTGCACGTCATGGAGCAGAGAGTTATAAAAATGAAATCAGAGATAGAGCGTTTAGATGGGTGGTCACCTGTGCGTTTTGGCGACGACATAGAGTTTGTAGAAAAGAAAATTGAAGAGTTAAAAAAACGTCGGACGTGCAGCGAGCAAGACGCACACGCCTCGTTTGAAAGAAGAAATGAAAAATAAAAAACCACAGGCGTGTCTGTAATTTCCACGAGTGATGTGGTGTAGATCAAGCCCTGACCCGGTGAGGCCCGCACAGGCTGCTGCTGCGTGAACGCACCTGTTCCACGGTGGTCACCGGGAATTAAAAGGCTCTACGTGGCAAAACAACAGCGTGACCTCTGACCTCTTTTTCTCTGTGGCGTTTTTAATGCACAGTTGTGTGCAGGACACGGGAGGCTCTCTGTTGTTTCATGGCTCGAGATGAGAGCTCGCCTTATATGTCTCTCATGGTTGAGTATAGACTTTTGGATTTTCTGTTTGGATTTGTATCAGTGTATGTGTTTGTGTCACACAAGTGTGTGAGGTTCTTCTTCCCGTTTTACCAGCAACAAAAGTTGATTTCACTGTTGAAGCATCATGGGAGGTCCTTTGAAAAATGTTTTTAATACCACAGGATAAAAACAAAAAGTGCTAAGCTAAAACAAGTAAAAGACAGCCACATAAAAATTATAAAAACTTGGGGTTAGAGAAAAAAATGGGTGTTAAATTGGCTGAAATCACTGAAATGTACCCAGGTAGATATAACCAGCGTCACTTTAACAAAACACAAGCGATTGTTCTTGCAGTGGTGGTAATAAGGTGGTTCAGGAAGGGGACTGTTGTACTTATGTCCCGGATGTGACCACAGCAGTGATCCTGTGTCGCTGTCCTGGCCACTGGGGAAGAGAAGGAAGCCCCCTGAGTTGCAGGCACACACAAATGAAGGCTCTCACATGTGTGTCACGTTTCCTCGGTCACTTTCCTTTACTTAGGTTATAGCAGGCGTTTAACCTAAAAGTCTTTCATCCCCCACGTCACGTCCGACTCTTTCACGTAACCTCCTCTGGTACCTGGTCTCTGGCTTTGTATGCTTTGCCGCCTAATTTTTCTACCGCAAACTCCCTCGGTGGAAACAGCCTTAACTCTGCGGTGTGGCGAACTCTCTGTTTTTTCTGCCACCCTCGTGTCCGTCTTCCATGTGGTTTCTGTCATCTTTCCTTCCCCATATCTGTCCCAAACCAATCCTTAAAAAGCACACCTTGCTGTGTCAGCCAATCAGTTGGTCCAGTTAGTCACAGCGGTTTCTCATCATTTTGATCCATTGTCCAAAAAAACATGCAGTGTAAAAACAGCAAACACAAAACTACTAAAACCATGCAACACACTTCAAAAAAAACAATAAAACCAAATGTGAAACTACTCATAAAACCAAACAGAATAATAATTTAAAACATGCAAATGTTGAATCAAGTGAATTAAGACGTGGCTTTAAAGAATGTCCCACCTCGTCATTTTCTCCCCTCCTTTAAAAATGGTCTTTCCAATCAGTTACTCATTAAGATACCTGGCTGGAGGAAACCCAAAATTAGCTTGCTGCGAGCGACGTACATTGGGCTGCTCAGGCTCACCAATGAGAGCAGCTGGTCCTTCTTGAGAGTCAGGTTGTTCAGCCTGAGCTGGGTCTATTGTATGTGCTGATAGAAGCTGGGTAGAGCTTATGATCGAACCAGGGAGCCATCAACTGGGAGGGGGCAACTGGTTTGGCTCGCTTGTTGTCCTGAAACAGATTTAAAGGGCACAAAGGGTGGCTTTCCCTCAACTGAGTCACCACCACAAATGGCTCTGGGCTTCAACTTTGGATCAACTTTCCTTTAGTCTTCCTGTGGAAGTTACGAATAAGCACCTGCTCGCCTGGAAGCAGAGGTGCCAGCTTAACTCATTTGTTGTAACGTGCCTGATCCCTTTCTTGTCCGTGCTGGGATAGCTTCTTAGCTGTCCCCAGGAAGTCTTGTGTGTCTCCTAAACACTAAATAGTGTGGGGTGGCAGGTGGCATTTTATGGGCTGCAGCTTCACTCCATGCTGGTCAAGCCGGTGTAAAACCTCCTTCAGGTGTCGCTTATCGCTACCTACACCACGTTCAGTGCCACACTGTTGAGAACCAGCCCCTGTTGTCCTTGTATGTCATCCATAGCCACCTCTGTCACTTGGGCCAATGGCTGGTGCTGATGGATCTGTACTGGTTAGGGTTGGGGTTGCAGATCCTGCAAGGCACTCATCCACCATTTAGTGTGGCCAGGGTCCGCCCCACATGCCATTCAGCTCTACAATTACAAGCTGGGTTAGTTAGTTTGTTCATTCCACCACATCTGTCGGTGTAATTCATGCTTTATGGGTCCTGTTTGTAAACCCACTATCAGCTGGTCAAGCAACAGATCATCCCCCTCTTCTCTTCCACCTTCATGCCACTCTTGCCATCTGAAAAAGAGTTCTTGCAATCTTAATATAAAAGTGTTCACACTTTCATCAACCCACTGTTTGCCTTGCTGTCCATTGGTTTTCTCCCTCTAATAACTAGCTGTAGCTAACTCTCCTTCTAGGGCGCCCAAAACTATATCCTCTTGTTGCTGTTGACTTAGTTCTTATGCCATCAGCATGGCTTTCACCATCAAATTTAGAAATCCAAGCAGCCCATATAAACCATGGCATAACAAACTGTGCAGTTGTGGGTGAGATAGAATTAGGCCTATGGGCTGCATTCATTTCTGCATTCATATTCGACTGGAACTGAGATCATTTACACCCGGTTTTAAGCCTTTTAAGTGGCGATGCTAGTGTACGTAGACACACAGTGGTGTGTATGAGGGTCCGTGGATGCACCTCATAGGAAGATATCAGAGGGAATTTCGGCTTGAAACATAGAGTAAATGATGCCTTTCGAATTTGGGGCTTGGGTGACGCCACACGAGCAGTATGGAGGCATGTTTTTTTTTTCCTGTTGTTTTATTATGTCTGAAGTGTCAGTCATATTTGACTTCAGTTGTATTGGATTCTGCTGCGACAAAGTTTACTCCTGAGACTCCAGAAGTGTTTTGTGGACTCAAACACTTCACTCATCCCTCAATTGGCATAGTGGTGAGTAGATGATGATTGAATTTTAATTTTTCGGTGAACTTTCACAAATCTACTAAAAGCATGCAACACACTTCGAAAAAAGAATAAAACCAAATGTAAAACACATATATATATAAATATAAATATAACTAATAAAACACAAAAAGAATAATAATTTAAAACATGCAAATGTTGGAGAAAGTGAATTAAACGTGGGTTTGAAGAATGTCCCATCTCGACATTTCCTTCTGCGTGGTGCCTCTGAAAGCCACGGGCTGCAGCTCATAAAGTTTCCCCCCTCACACCCCTCTCCTGTCCGTGCAGGCCTGCCTGTACACCCGCAGATTACACCGGTGCAGACGGTTCCTTCAGCATGCGTCTCTTTGTTTTTTCTGTCTCACAGGACGGAACGACAAAGGTGGAAACCTGGTGACTTGTCTCGACCCCGCTGCTGCAGCTGAAGATGATGATGACGCTGTTGGAGCCTCCAGCTGTGCACCGGAGGAGAAAAAAAGGGGGGACCCGCACTTATGGATGTTTTCACCGAGGAGTGCACGGTCAGAAAGATGGACATCGACCTCCCCCCTCCTCCCCCATTCTTCCTCATCCCGAGAACAGGTAATTTACGGCCTGAGATGTGTTAGAGGATGAGGAGGATGACGTCAAACCCGAATCACACCTTAAATTGCATTTTGCGTATAGGGCTCGTTCGGTGCATGTTTCTCACGCAGGGGTTTATGGTGCTTGGATTTCCTACTCTTCTTCTTTTATGTCAACTTCTCGCAGACTTTTAAATGTTCTATAAACGCCATGAATTGTTAAGTCTCCCATATGTTTAATTAGTCTCTGTAATTCTTATGATTAATGTTGCTGTGATGGACTGAGATCAGTAAACTTAGACGTACATTTCGAACACAAAAGCCATGTAGTATGAAATCTCTCAGAGAGATAAGTTGGTGGTGTGTATTGGCGAGTTAAGTGTCCTGTCATGTCTGGTGTAATATTACTTATGCGGTTAGTATGTATGGTTTTTAGTTTTGTTGTGATATCGCCACATAAGATGACATTTTGCATGTTAAGTCATCCTGGATTTTGAGTGCATGGATCTTCAACACAACTTAAGCATTAATCAGAAAATCAAACTCTATATCTTATCGTATTTACTTCACTATATAGCGAAAGCAAGTATCCTACAGACCTATATATTTTTATTTTCTAAAATCACCTGGTTGCAGTTAAATTTTGTTGTTGGCTTATTGAGTTGTGTCTTGAGTGTCAAAGATGGACAAAAGTAAATCCAGTAATTTAAAATGTCTATTGAGCAGGTGTTAGCGTGCGTGTGTGACTGACTGTAGCGTGCACTGTATTTGCTTTTGCACTCTTTGTGTTGTGGCACCATGCACTAGCTGTAAAGTCTCCTCCCAAATACCTGATCTGTCACTTCTCAGTGTGAGTCATCATATCGTAGACGGTTCACACTACACCTCATCAAGTTACATCTTCTTATCCTTGTCCCAGTACTCTTGGTACGAGCAAAGACCAAGTGGCTATTTGAATAAAACAAAAAAGTCCTCCACGTTTCTTCACATTGGGTTTGATAGATATTTTCCATTTGCACTGTAGATCGAGACAGGGGAGATCAAATATAAATACATGAAGAATATGATCATGTCGTTGTATGAGAGTTGATTTGACCTGACCTCTGTGGAGACCTTTCATTTGATGGTGCATTCAGGTGCTCCTTGTAAGCCCCTGCCTCTGGGTTTGATAATCATGTGCTCTCACTCATCATGACAGCAGGCTTCGGTTATATCTTTCTGTTCGGATAATGATCAAAGCCAAAGTTATGGTAAATAATTTGCATTCACTATTTCCATACACATTCTAAGAATGCTATAGACAGGTAGATCTTTCTGGTTATGAGATTTCCATCTTTGATATTTTTGCCTCCATCCAAATACAATAGAAGTTAATGTTATTTTCTTTAAATTTTAATTCCCAGTCACCATTCATCAGGATAATCCACCAAACACAATGTCAATGTAAAATTGTGAATGCTCTGAGCACAACAAAGACAATGCCATTTATCTCCACTGTATTTGAATGGAGGCAAAAATATCAGAGATGGAAATTTCATAAACAAAAAATCTGTATGTCTGCAATACACCTGAGGTTTGTATGAATAATCATCATGTTCAAAATAATCTAAATAACTGACCACCACTGAAATGTCCTTTTGTTTTGCTCAGAGCATTGACAATTTTACATGGAGAGTGTCTTTGTTCATCAGGATAATCCACCAAACACACTGTCAACAGATGTCCCTGGGATTAATCCTTCAGTAGAAAGTGGATCCAATGAAAACTGTTAATAGCGCGGTCTGTTTATTTTCCAGAGTAACATGGACACTGATTCTCGTAGGATACGTTGCTGTCAAATTTTGAAATCTATTTTTTCACAGTGCTTTGGCATCTCAGAGACAGATGTCAAAACCTGGACAGATACAATCAAAAATATTTACGCAGTGAGAAACCACCATAAAAAATGTTTAATTGGATATTTGCTGAATTGACCCTCTACATAAGATAAATGGTTAAGTAGAGTGCTCATTTTCTTTTGTTTGTATTAGGTCGCAGCACACAGCTACAGTATCTAGTCCGTAGGCTGTTTGGTGCTTTGCTGAAATTATTTGTAGTTTATTTTGGTGTTTGCCTTATTTTCCTTACTTGTATCACTTCAGTGAACGTGATGCTCACATTGTTGCTTCTCTCTTGTGAGCTGTGCTCAGAATATTTCAAACATCAAATCATTATGATTCTCAATCAAATTGAGGGAATTGCTGGGTGTGTGTTTTGTGTCATACAGTTTAAGCTACTGACGTGATGTTAACACATGTGGAATCATGTATCTGTTGTGAAATTATTAAATTAAATTATACTTTTAACGGCTGCTTTAACTCACACATTTAAACACTGCTTAGACTGCATGTGAAAGCACTGTAACACGGTAGTTAGAGGATATACCCATAATCTAATCATTAAGCTTCCATTATGTTGTCTCATGATGTTTGATTATTTACCTGCCGATACAGGTCTAAATATACCACATCAATAATTACTGTGAATTATAGCATTGATTGGATGTTTTATTTGCCGGCATACCATCTAAAGTATATCACGCAGTACGTTTTACCTGAAACAAAGTGTTAAGAGAGCGTTTCTAGCCTGACGTCACCCCCACCTGTGTATGACAAATCACAGCATGTGCCTAAATACCCAGCGACAATCTTCCCTCTTGTTCATAACAAGCTGCCAGTCCAAAGCTATTTATAGGGAGATGACATCACGGTTAAAACTGAGACCAACGGGCTTTGAAGCCGCAGGATGCAAAAATTAGAGTTACGAACAACTCTATGCTAACAATTCAGTGCACACACTATTCATTGCATTATAATGTGTTATCACAAATATAGNTATTTATTTATGCATTTATCTAAAAGGGATATCCCATAGAGAGCTGCATCTATGTGTTCTTCAGCTGAGATCAGAGTGTGGCTTTACAGATGTTTTTACATCTGCACATGTTGATGCAACCAAACTGTATGTGGTTGACTTATTCCTTAAATTGATCATTTAAAACATTAGGGGTAAGACATCAGAGAGCAGCAGAGATTAAAAAAAAATTCAATGAGCATAAGCAAAGCATAACTTGAAATGTAAACATGTGGTAATAACGGAACACTTCTCTTCAAGTATTTGCTGATCAATGAATGGAGTGGTAATTTCTTCCTGTACAATTATTACTTATTTATTTTTTGCGAGGGGATCAATGTTTGCCCTGGTCTTCACCCAAGTGGAAAAAGCCACTCATAGACTTAATGTTCAAATATTCTGCACTATATGTGACAGGACATTTCACCAGTCCACCACATCAAGCCTCTATGTTGATTTGAAGTTGTGTTAAGATCACCTTTGGGCATTAATTGTTTGTTTGTTTGTGTGTGTGTGTGTGTGTGTGTGTGTGTGTGTGTGTGTGTGTGTGTGTGTGTTGCATTTAGTATTTTTGCTGTAGAAGGAGACAGCATTGTTAGTGTGTGTAGGTGGACCATAACATTACACAATCAACCATCCATTTGTTTGTTTTGTGTTTAAGATATTTGTGAGCTACCACACCAGACACAACAAAGCTTTTTATCATAAAGAAAATTGGCTGGCAAAAGTCTACATTTTTCTAAAGCTCAACTTATAAAATGGAATATATCACCTGTATAGTCAGAGCCTGGTATGTATCTCAGTCCTCTATCTACAGCCACAGTTTGACCTCTGACAAGCTCTGCAGCATTGGCAGATCCTTTTTCTACTATATTATCGTAGTACTGCTACAGATACATGTCATGTCCACACAACTCCAGAGCTTTAGAGCTGCTGAGACACATGTATGGAAACTCCAGGACAGCGTTTTTGTCTGGACGGGCATAGACAGGGACGTTTGGTAAACAATGACATAGACACTCACAACTCTAATTGGGTCTTTCCGGTCATGATTCGTCAGTGTCCCATGACCCCCAGAAGTGTTGCAGACCCTGTTGTCCTGGCTGATAGCTGTTGTGAAGTTAAATTCTGCATATTACAATGATACAGCTCTTTACATGTGTAGGAGACAAGCTATCATTCGAACAATCTACAACAATTCTGCAACTTCTTCTTCATCTTTCGGCTGCTCCCTTTTCGGGGTCACCACAGCAGATCATCTGCCAATATATCCACTACCCCTCCGATTTGTGATCCGCATGTTTGTTTTGGCACAAGTTTTACGCCGGATGCCCTTCCTGGCGCAACCCTCACCATTTATCCGGGCTTGGGACCGGCACTAGAACTACCCAAAAGAGTATCCCTAGTGGCTGGTTTAACAATTCTGCAACTAACAACCAAATTAAATGCTACTGTTGCAGTATCGTGTTGGGGCTTTTCCCACCATGTCCGCCATGTGCTCAAACTGCACAACCTAACCTAAATGACGATGAGGAGTCAAATAAAGACCATAATGAGCAGAGTGAAAGTTTCAAGGATCACTTTGCTAAAGGTTAGCATGTGGTGAAGGTTCTGCCTTTTGTCCCCAGTGAGTTGTTAAAACTTGCTTCCTCTGAAAACATTCATGCTACTCATGGTACACAGAAACAGGAACATTTAGTCATTTTTGAAAATGATTTTTTTTACCCTCCTTTTAAAACTTGACGGTTGAGATGCACCAGCCTAAACATTTCAAAGAATAAATAAAAGGAATTGAACAATATCATATGTAGCAGTGAAATTCTCCAGCACTTTTTTTGATCACTTTCACACCTACCATGTTTGGTGTGTGGACCTTCAGCCATTTCAGTTTAGTCTGGACTAAAGTATGTAACATTGTTTTGGATAGTTCGGACTTTTTGACAAATGGCAGGAAGTTGAAATATCATTGAACAATAGAAGGAAAGAAGGGAAGCTGTTCATATGATTGTTTGCAGTCTTTGACTGTGATGGAATATTGTTTGAATGACAGCGACTTTCATTACAGTGGCAACTAAATTAACAAAGTGAACTATTTAATTAATTTTCTCTATTTAAAGACAACTTTTTTAAACTTTATTTAGAAAAGTTAGCAAATACAATAGTATTGACAACAGACATCAGACACACGCCATTCTACAAACAAAAGGAATGTCAAGTATAGATAGATGCAGCCAACATAGGTGATGACAACAAGATGTCTGTATGTGATACAAAAGTTTTATTCTGCTCCCTGAATTTTAATGTAAAATATAAAACTAACCAGTCCAATGGCAACAATGTAACAAAGACATGAACATTGGTTCGGACTTTCTGGTGTGAAAACGTCCTCATTTACTTCATAAAGGTCAATAGGACTATAAGGTTGTGGCCTATTGTGTTCATAGGTAAGTATAACAGTGCTTCTGTCTCAAATACACTGCATGTTGTGACATGGAGATAGAACTTTAATGAATCATTGCTGCTACAGTATCAGTGAGAACCACTGGCTCCTCCCCCACAAATGATAAAATGGAATTAAAGACGATAGTGATGAATGAAATAATCAATACATGCAAAGTCTCTGTCTTCACTTCCCTGTGTATAACTTCACTAATGCCTGATGTCATCTAAATCTCTTATGCAAAGTGCAACATCAAGCAAATGTAGTATTTGTGTACACAGTACTTATACAGTATTTTATAAATGTGAATATTTAAGATTGTATTCATTTATATACTAATCTGGAAAAGATATGTAAATGTACGCTGACCAACTAAATCCAGGCAGTGATTATTTTACTGTTTCAATGTAACTGAGGAACAGTTTATCTTTCCTGAAACAGAGACAGTCAGAGATGTACTGATTCAAACCTGGAGTCATTTTCAGAACTAAGATCAAAGGTTATGTTTTCACCCGTGTACACTTGTTGGTTTGTTTGGAAGCAAGATTACTCCAAAACGACCACATAGATGACCACGCACCCTGGTGAAGGATGCAGTTTGGATTAGGGACAAACCTGATAAACTATGATTTGGATCTGGATCAGGGGGCGGATCCAGGGTTTTTTTGTCATCACTTTCTTTAACATTGTAAAACGTTGACGTTTTCACTGATCTGCCAGGGAGCAATACATGGGTCTTGATGAAAAATATTGGGTACACTTAAGGGACAAAGTCTTCATATGTGAGGAGTAAACCCACCAAAGTTCTGATATCACATCGTTGTTTTCTTTGTCAAAGACAGTTGGTCCATTTTCTTGATGGCATATTTTTAT